CAAGTCCTGGGCCCAGTGGCTTAAACTCACACCAGGCGTGTGTGCGTGCCCAAGATCCTGAGAGGAGAGTGGAGGAGAAGGGATTGCGGCGTGGCCATCCTCCCTGGGGGGTGATTTCTCGCTTTCTGTCTCTCTGTCTCTGTCTTTCTGGTGAGCACACGTGCCCTATAAGAAGAAACCTCTACAAAAAAATAAATAAATAAAACAAAGGAGAGAGAGGATAAGGAGCGCACATACGAGAGAGAGACAGGGAGAGGGAGACAGAGGGAGAGAATTTGAATTGGAAGAAAACCTAGAAAGAAATAATCCAGGAAATATATACATTTTGTTGTGCAAGACGACTTCAGAAGTTTCTTGGAGAGACCAGCAGATGGCATAATGGTTACATTGCTGACTCCCACGCGGTCAACTGCAGTTCAAATCCTGGACCCAGTGGTTTCAAGCTCTGCCAGGCGCGTGTGGCCCATGGTCCTGAGAGGAGTAGGGAGGAGAAGGGATTGCGGTATAGCCATCCCCTCCCAGGGGGCGGGCGATTTCTAACTTCTCTCCGGTGAGCGTGCACACCCTATAGCAAAAATCTCGTTTAAAAAAGATTGTTCTTGGGGAACCAGCAGTTAGCGTAATGGCTATGTCGCTGGACTCCCACGTAGTCGACCGCGGTTCGTGTCCCGGACCCGGTGGCTTAAAACTCACGCCGGGCGCGTGTGCGTGCGTGCCCAAGATCCCGAGAGGAGAATGGAGGAGAAGGGATTGCAGCGTGACCATCCCCCCTGGGGGTGATTTCTCGCTTTCTGTCTCTATGTCTCTCTCTGTCTGTCTGGCGAGCGCACGCGCCCTACAGTGAAAATCTCTCCAAAAAAAAAAAAAAAAGATTGTTCTTGGATAAAATGGATTTAAAGTACAATTTTATTTGGACGGAAAACATTTTTAAAATCCAGTTTTTTCATAATATGCATTTTCTGTGATCTTGAAGACACTTACATGTTCTTTCAGAAAATAAATAGTGTGTGTGAAACGATTTAGGTCCGAGTGGGCTATCGGGAGCAGGGTGGGAGGCAGCCAACCAAAATCTCTGAACAGGGTTTATAACTGTTCCAGCCCAGCTCTGCAAGGGGGCTCACCTCCTCTGAAGGCATAGCTTTTAAGCTGAGACTCAAAAGATAAAAAATTAGCTGAGCAAGAAAAATGTAGAGGAGGGCGGAAAGATTTCCAGACAGATGGGACATGCTGCGTGAGAAACCCAGAGGGGGCCCCACTCACCCCACTCCCTTCTCCACAGGCAGTTACTCCCAAGGCAGGCTCTCCCAGCTCGAGGGAGGCCGACCTCTGTGAGAGTCGTGTCAGGACGTGAAGGACAGGCAGGTAGGCAATCGCAGGAGCACAGACACAGTTCTCCTTTATATATATATATAAATAAATGTGGTAAAACTGCCCAGGGAGCCAGACCTGCACTGCAGTGATTAAGCACAGTGTGAGGGCTACACCCTACGCAGCCGACTGCAGTTCGAATCCCGACCTAACGGCTCCATAAACATGCCGGGTGCGTGTGTGTTTGTGCCCCAAATCCTGACAAGATGGAGAAATGGAAGAAAAAGGATTGCAGGGGGACCAGCCCTACTGGGAGGTGCTCTGCCTCTGTCTGTCTCTGTCTCTCTGGGGAGCACATACACCCTCTGGTGATAACAAGGGGGGAGAAGGCCTTGCGTGCACACAGGCCCAGGGCTGGACTAGCTGCTGGCATACTCCAGGGTGTGTCCTGTTTGGGGCTCTCTTGGGCCTGTTCCCAGATCTCAGCTCTCTCCTGTCCAGAACTTTCTGTCCCTTGACTCCTTGGGAAATGTGGCTTCCCCTTCTGTCCCATCATCCTCTCCTCCCTGATCCCAAGCCTCGCACTGCCTTTAGTCCACCCCGAATTCCTTGTTCTCTGCCTCCTGAGCACTAAGGAAGCACTGCGGGGTTTGTTTGCTCGTTTTTTATGAGAAATTTTTGTTATAGGGCACGTGTGCTTGCCAAAGAGACAGAGAAACAGAAAGTGAGAAATCATGCCCCTGGGGGATGGCCACACCACAATCCCTTCTCCTCCCAGGATCTGGGGTGGGCACACACACACACCAGGTGTGGGTTTCAAGCCGCTGGGTCCAGGACTCGAACCGTGGGCGTGTGGGAGTCCAGCGACATAACCATTATGCCATCTGCTGGTCCCAGCAACAGGCTTTCTGCTTGTCACCCGAGATCACCCAGGACCCCGCCCCACTCTCTCCTGACCTGCTCTCTGCCTTCCCTTTGTCGTCTTTACTGAGAAGCTGCCGTACCCTCCCTTAATAGCAAACTATGACCAAAACCGGGTACTCAGGCTGAGCTTAATCAAGGAGCCACTTTCTTCCCGGTTCCATACAGGAGTCTCTTTGAACTAGCACTTCTCATTTCTCAACTGCCAACCCATTCTACTTCCTGTCATTCTCAAGAGCGTAGCTCGGTACTGGCCTCTGACGCAACCTGCCCTTCTCACTCAGTCGCTCCCTGTCGCACCTGGCTTCAGCCCCGCCTACCATTCTGTCTCTTTCCAAGGTCCCACTCACACCAAGTAGCG